ACTAGAAAAAAAAAAAAAAGAAAAAAAAAAAAGAAAAGAAAGAAAGAAAGAAAGGCTTTGAAAAAGGGGCGCCACCTATCCTAGGATCAAGAGACAGAGTATCTCCGCGTGACTGATCTTCCCCAGCAGCGCTTCCAGCTTCCCAATTATGGTATAGGGGCTCGCTGCTTAATCTGATACAAGGAGTCCCCCCCTTTTAAGATTTACTAGCTGTATTTTTCCCGCAGACTACTTGACTTACCTTGCTGTTATGGATATCTTGCTAAGGCGTACTTCGCCGAACAACCCCGTTTAATCTTTTCAGCGCAAAATCGAGTTGTCATAACCGCAAAAGCAAAACGGAAATGATCAACCACTTGGTCTCGGCATAGTTGGAAGGAAGAGACGATTCACAGTCGCTGGCCCTTCTTGCCTCTCCTCTCTCCGAATGCTCTCAAATCAAGACAAGGGCATTGTGGCCACAAGGCCTAGAGTGTCATCGATTTGGACTGCTTGAGTGCAAATAGTTTAGTGATTAGTCAAGATATGGAATGACTTCTCAGCATGTCAAACAGAATAAAGGGGTAAACCCTTACTTGGATCATCCAAAAAGGACTCCACGGCAATCCCCTACATGCATAGCTAACTGGAAGAACTACTATCGATTGTCTATCGACAGCTATCGATTGACAACAAAAATCGATGTGTCTATTTCGCGCGCCCCTTACGGAGTACATCTTTTCGAATGAGCAAAGGAGAAGCCCAAGTAAGCAAGACACGGCTAAAGTGGCCAGAAAATACCACACTATCCGTTGCCGCACCACCACCAGCGGCAGGCACTTACCATAAGTGTTTTCTTACCTGATACCATACCTGACGCTAAAACTGTCCCATCTTGAACTTTGAAAAGCAGGAGACGGAGGACTGGCTGAGTCCACGAAGCACGCTGTGCAGCAGACATGCACTGTATGGTTTCGATTATACGTCGTCCTTCCACGGCGTATATTCTCCGTCACACAGGAAAGGGCGTCCTGAGCGCGGATAGGATATCAATCGGGCCAAAAAGAAATTACGCGGAAGAACTCATGTCTGTCTCGAACACTAAAGAGGAACGCAGGCCAGCTTGAAACAGGAACGAACCGTGGGACTCGCTTTCAGTTTCTCTCCCGCACTCGGTCTCATTTTTGCCTTCCGCACTTATTTCTGTTTAGTTATGAGGGGGCGCGCAAAACAAAAGTGAGGCTTTGTATGAAAGGGAAATACTGGCAAGTTAACTGGCCCACCCAATCAATGATTTTAGAGAGATGTACAAGGTGGCGTTTCTTGGATACCCTTTCATCAACTTTGCCTCTAGATCGGGGTACTAGGATCGATGATCTTCACCTAAATACCAAGGCGAGAAAGGTCATCGTCTGCAAGGCTTCACATTAGGCGCTGATATCTTATGCGGATGATGCAAATGTGCTCCCCATTCTCGGCTTCAGCTTCTCACACTTGAAATTGAATACGAAACTGTGTTCCCATGAAAAAGACATGATCATGAATGCTCTTTTGTAAATCCTTTTGTTTCCCCTTGTATTTGCGCGGGATTCGTCCTCAATATACGAAGGAGACAAACGGGATACATTCGCCGGCTGCATGCATGTTGCATGTTCTCCTGCCATCCAAAGGGGCTGGTTTGCATTTTTAGCTTCCTTGAAGTAAGAAGAAACCACAAGCCGACGTTCAACAGTGTGCTTCGGCTATTTGGTGAAGGAACAAGCTAGCTAGCCTGCTTCCTTTTTTTTTCCCCCTCTCCTCGTCTACGCGCTGAGCAAGCCTCAAGCGTCTCAACGTGCAGTCCAGGCTGCGGGATGGCATCCCAGATTGTAATATCCGCTTCGCTGGGCAGGGAAATGGGGTATTTCTCGGCACCGTCTCCCGTCACTTGCGGAGATACTAACAATTGCAGATGAGGAGAGAGTCTATGCTCTCTCTCCATTGTGTTGTTAGCTTATTGGAGCGTCTTCGGTGTTACAATCCACTAATTTTGGCCGAGCATGTGTAGGAGAGAACTGCCTTTGTTCACTTCATCATAACCATCATCCGGAGAAACCCCAAGAGTTGTCACTAAGTATACCAGAATAAAAGGCACAGGTCGTGGGTGATATCATGTTGTGATACCTGTTGTACCCCGTCTACAGCCAGAATGATAGGTCGGAATCCTTTTCATCCTATCTCCGCCCAACCCTTTCCATTAGAGTCAAGCTTTGTTGTCTTGACTACCGACTTGCGGTTGGTTATCGGGGGCCTGCTTCTCAGAAATCCGTATGGGGGATATCTGATATATTCTATCAACCATAGGCTTCGTCACATCAAAATCTTTAGCTGTGTGCGCGTTGGATTTGGCAAGGCAAATTCGTCCCACGTAGTAACCTGATGAGAATCCCGCTGAAAAGTCACTTGGAGGCGTGAGAAGGGACACGAGGATACGTACTGCCTATGACTGGCCGTTGTTCTCCCCCTAGTCGAGGTCACACTACATTTATTCGTTTACAGGCCTGCAGAAACTATTCCGCTCTGGTGGCCTCGACATGGGTATGACAGCCCACATACCAACTTCAATAAATCAGGATACTGTGCCTCGTACCCATTTGACAGTGGCGGGAAAATTAAGGAACCCTCGAGCGAGCAACGGTTAACTGACATCTACCTAGGGGAGCATTAACCAGCCGTCTCATGGGAGGTATTCTGTCCGTGAGTGGGCGGGTGAATATTGATACATGCGACGCCAGGGCACAGCGAATACCATCGAACACTATAGTTAAATATTCACAAAACCAGGATATCTTTCTACTACTGGCTAATTATCAGTCCACAGGACCAGAATGGCGGCCGGTTCGGAATCTCATGTACAGCTGAGGGTTGAGCCGACAAATACCGTATAACGTCGGGTCCGGTCCGAATTCCTAGACCCTCCTCCCATGGTCTACTTGTGGCTCTGTATGCCCGGTTTCTAACCTAGGAAACGACAACCTCCAAGGTGTGGGCATGGCCGAGGCTTTACGGGGGTCAATAAACCTGGCCACGCAATAATGAGAATATCCAGCAAGAAAAATAAATCATCAGCTTCAGAAGGCCCCGACTTCCTCAACGTATGTACATTCGGCGTTTAGGTGCGGGATCCTCTGTATGTAATAGGGCGAACTGCATTCGAAACTGGTCCGGGTCTGGCTTCCTTTACACAGGGCCCCTTGGACAGCAAAATGAAACCAATAGGTAGGTGCTCACGGCCCTGGTAACAAAGGTCTAGCCAATTTCAAACATAGACAGAACGAAGTTGATTGAAAATGATAGATAAATATGGCGTCAAGCCGTGTATCGGTCTAGATATCAACCCATTGGTCTATACACACCAAATGAAACAAGCTCTTGCTGTTCCATTTTTGTGGAGGGATTTAATCGACTTGCCATTCGGGCTGAGTTTCGTCAGCCGCCCGTTATCGTTATGAGTAACCGCATGGATTTATCAGGTATAAATATGGAGACCGGGCGTAGAAGTTCCTTGTTCTTCTCCTTGGAATAGTTCATGCAAGGAGAGCAATAGTTTACTTCTCCCGTGACAGTAGTCAAACGGCATGGCCTCAAGCAGGTCGTCAATTTAGCAACAGTCCAGGATCTAATCTTGTCCAAGGAAATTAATAATGGGACGTCCAAGATGGGGTTGTTCCTCATAGCCCAGTGCCCGAAGTAAGCCGGAGCAGAGCTGGGGTACGCAATAACTAATGGCGCCAAATTGGTATTGAACGATGGCTGGTGTAGGCCAGTATTTAGCAGATGGACGACTTCTTCCGCCTCATCGATAACATACCATAGAATCTAAAAACTGCATAATAAGGGGTGGACGGTATAGGGGCTAAGTAAATTGTGGTCAATTTAATGGCCATCAACTAATCGTGTGTAGCTCATAGTTAGGTATGTAGTGGCTGCCTACCTAAACGGAACCCTTTGGTAGATAGTTTCTGGTCAATTTTACGTTCCGTCGACTTTGATAGCTCTCGCGGGAGAGCCAGGCTCGCATACAGGAAGAGAATAGATGAGAGACTCTGATATTACCCGAAAAAAGCACAACGGGCACAAGATAACACACAATAGTACATGATAACTAAAAGAGAGCGCAGAGAAGGACAAAAGCAGACATGAGATCCACAAGCATGTCAAGAACCCACCGCCGCACCATGGTCATCGTGATATCATCTTAGTGGGCCAATTACTCCCTCCAGCATGGGAAAATCTTTGTTTCCTTCTGCCTCCTGAAATGGAATCGAGAGCATCCAATGTAGAAAAGGAGAGTTGATCGAATACAGTTAGTGACGAAACACTCAACTCGAGGTACGTACAAGGTGGTAAGAGCAGCAAGGGAGGGATTGGCCAGATATTGGTGTAAAACTGCAGGAGCTTTCTTCTTCCTCTTTTTGAGCAGACTTTGAAGCTGCAGGCAAGAGTATGGATATTATACCCGTGGTTTCAGGACGGGACGGTGCATAGCCAAAGGGCAGAGGGAGCAATGAGCACAGAGGCATTGCGGAACGATAACAGGAACGGTAAAATAGAACGGAATACAGGAGAACGCAGATCGAGGCACAGACAAAATATAAAGGTAAAAAAAAAGTATTCATTTTGTATATAGTTTTTTTCTTCATTTCCGTTTGTCGTTGGGGAACATTGATAAGCACACAAACAGAACGAGACTGGTAAAGATGTGGGCGAAAAACACAATAAACTGACAGGCAAGAAGGAATAGGGAAGAGGAAGTAAAATTGCGCCATTATTTCTAAAAATGTAAGTAGTTAAAAGCATTGCTAAGGAGTGGCAGTGTGGAAAGAAGCTGCATGGGGATGTGAGTGACAATAGATTTATCGGCGGTTCCATGTCGAGTAGCTAAGCATAACAATTGTTAGCGAACGGTTACTGACCGAATTAATAAGGGATAACGGGGATTAGTACTAACCTCCAGATTCTAGCACGCATGTCTCCACTTCCAGTTGCGAATAGCTGGCCAGTTGGGCTCGGGGCAACAGAGATAACTATAAGTAGTAAATAGGTCAGTCATAATCTAGAACACGAAACATGTTAGAGAAATGGCAGGAGGACATACCCGAGTTTTTGTGACCCTGAAGCATCATCTGAGCGTGACCGGTAGCAGGATCCCAGAATTGAACACCTCTATCTTTCGAACCGCTCATCACCCAGTGACCGTCAGGTGTCAGACAGACACTAAGCACAAAGTCCTTTAAATAGATGGTTAGCCTGGAAAACACGCCCAAGATAACATGGTGATCGCTACGGGATGGCCTACCTTGTGTCCTTCGAAAGTGCGTACACACTTTCCTCCCTTTGGTCCTGTTCCGGGTACCATTCCTCTTGGGGGTGTGAGCTCCCACATCTTGATAGTCTTGTCCAAACTGCCGCTAACAAGGTCTCTGCCATTTGGTGCAAAAGCAACACTGTAAACACTGTCTCTATGGCCATCAGGGCTCTCAAGACGCTCAACAAGGTATCCAGTGGTGGTATCCCAGACACGGACGCTCTTATCAAGAGATCCAGCAGCCACATAGCGACCGTCTGGGGAGATGGCAACGGTGGTGACGCCGTCCTCAATGCTGAGGATGAGTTCCTGCTTGCCATCAACAATATCCCAGAGACGGACGGTCTTATCGCCACTTCCTGAGGCGATATAACGGCCATTTCGCGCAAAATCAAGGGAGTAGATGTCTTGCTCGTGTCCAGAGAAGATGTTCTTGATTGTGCGGCTAGCAATATCCCAGACCTAGTGGAGACAGTTAGCCAAAGAAATTTGGTACAATCATATTGTTAACAATAAAACAAAGGCAGAAAGCATGAGAACCTACCCTAATCTGCTTATCTTCAGCACCAGTAGCAAGGTATCTGCCATCAGGGCTGAAACAGACGCTTCGAATGTAGAGGTCACCGTCCTTGTCAACAGAGTCATCCTGGAGCGTGCTAACTAGCAAGCCAGTGCTCACTTCGAAGATCTGGGCAGAACGGTTACACCCAGTGGCTACGTGCTTACCATCGGCACTGAAGCGGACACAGCAGACAACACTGTCGTGGATAAGGTTGTGAACGAGGTCGACATCCAGGACACGAGGAATGTCCGGATTAAAGACAGCGTACCAGTCGCTGCTTTCCTTCTTCTGGCTGGGTGGGAGCTTATCTGGGTCGAGCTCTGCAAGAGTATTACCAACAGTGCGGTAAGGGGGTCCTCCCTGTGGGTTTGCAGCGCTCTGGAGGGGCATCTGGGGGGATGGGCGAGCATCAGAGAAGGCCATCTGCTGGCTTTGCTGGGGGGTTGCAGGGCCGGCTGGAGCACGGGCATTACGGCCTTTTCCGGGACCTGGAGAGGCAGTAGGAGCTGGAGGACCAAATGCTAATTAGAAGAGTATGGTTAATACACAGTGTACATGTACGTCTGTGTACGACAAGGTATTTCTGGTGACATACCTGAGCCATTAACGGCAGAACCCTGCTGGTAACCGCCAAAGGCGCCTTGAGGAGGCTGCGGAGGTCCCTGGGCGTTGGGGGGATTCTGTAGTGAGTGTTGAGCGCCCTGTTGCTGGTCTTGCGGCGGAGGTGGGGGAGCAAGAGCTGGCGCACCGCCGCCCTGGTTAGCCATAATGCCTCCGAAGAGGTTGCTGGGGCCGTGTCCAAGGGCTGGAGGGGGTGCCTGGGAGGGGCCTCCGTGTGGTGGTGGGCCGCCGACGTGAGATGGGGGAACGTGGATACCGCGAGATTCGAGCTCCATGCGTAGTGTGCGTATTTCAGCCTCGTAGCTAGTACAACATGTTAGAGATAGCATTGTGCCGGCAAAAATAGAAAGAAGACGTACTCTTGTTTCATCTTGAGCTGAGCCTGCTCCAACTGGTAGACCTTTTGCCGGATCATCTCCATCTCCTGGAGCTGGCCGGTCACTACAAATGTCAGTCAGACTAGATATTGTACATCGCAAAAACGGGCGGGGAATCATACGCTGATGTTCGAACTCGCCGGTGCTGCGCGACTGGTTATCGAACTCTTGTCGTAGCTGGTCGAGCAGCTCGGTCAGGCGCGTGTTTGGCGGCGCGGTGACCATGGCTCGATGAGACCCATACATGGCGGCGGTGCTGCTGTTTCGTGTATCTCGTGAAGTCGAAGCGTGGTTAATGGGAGAAGAAAGAAGCGAACGGCGCCCTGGGAAAGCGGGAACAAGAGCGTCAGCGTTGGACTTTTTGCAATATATATTAATTTATATAACCCAAACTGGTCGTTTTTGTTATGGACCCGCACGGACTTTTTGGCGACAGGGGGATGAGGCTGAAGTCTGGCGCAACAAGAGACCAACAGTGCAAAGGGGAAAGCTAGGGGAGCTGTATATACCGGGAGAACAATCGCGTGTTCAGGCTTTGGGAGAACTTCCAGCCGAAGTCAGGGAGAGAAACGGGCGTGGCGGGTGTTGCTTTTTTGGTGATGCGATTGCGCCAAATTGAACGGTGACGGCGGCAACAACCGCAGCAGCCACAGCAAAAGGGTCGAAAAAGAAAGGCAAACGAAAGAGGAGGAGGAGAAGTAAAGGCGAACTCGGTCAGGATAGAGAGTTGAAGCCCAAGAGCTGCCGGCGTGGTGGGTGATCGCAGGGAGGTTGGCTTGAATTGGGCGAGTTTGAAGGTTGAAGGGAGAAGAAGTTGAAGAAGGATGAAGAGCGAGGAAGAAGAAAAGAAGAAAGTTTCCTAGTGGATGCTTGGGAGATGCTTCTGGGGTTTCAGGCCCAAAACCTCGCTCTGCTTCTCCTGACGTTTGCCTCGTCTTCTCCGTTTGCTTGTCCGAGCTGTTTTCTGCGTAGATTTCGACGCTGAAGTCGCTGAGGTCGTCAGATTAGGCGTTGCTGCGTTTATTTATCCAGTTTCCTCGTCCCATTCAGTCCATGTTATGCTCCTGCTCTGCCTGTTTTTGGAAGTGCCAAGACAATTGTACATGCATAAATCGTCGCTTAGATAACCAGCCACCCGGCTTAGTCATAGAGCACAGACCATGCTGAATAAGGAACTCAATTGGGACTAGCGGGGTTTTCTGTTTGTCTTACTAAGCAGTTCTTTATCTGATCCAGATGGGGTCGCTTTTTCGGGTTAGTCACTTTCTTTATTCGGCGCCCTTTTTCCCTCGCGATTTCAAATCCTCCCGTCGACTGCGACGTCTTGAAATATCTGCGATCCTCAGATTCCTCCTCAACTTCCGTCCATCCCTCCTCTCCCTACCTGAGCTCAGGGCGACGCTCGCTGATACCTCGGCGCATTGCTTTTTCAGGCCAGCTTTTCGTCGACGCACCAGTCAACAAGCTCAAACTTCGAGAAACTTTTTTTTTTTTTTTAACTTAAGCTTCTTGGCCTTAGGTTACTATCTATCAATCAGATATCAGCAGCGCCCGATTGGTAACAGACAAGCAGATACACACACGGCGCCCGCCATGGATATCGTTTTAGAAGTCTTCGATACATTCGTGTTCGACTACTTGTATGCCTGTGCGCTGCCTCTTTCTGCGCCGTCCAGTGATATCATCTCCAATGTTTTTAAGGGCGTCAACTCGACCACTGCCTCCACCATCGCTCAAGTCAACGGGATCGGCAATGGCTTTGTCTACACTCCTGCCACCAAGTATTTCTCTTTGGAGCCATTCGAGTATGCCTACCAGTCGTCTCTGCCTCGAGATAATGGCTTCCGTCAAGTCCTCAGTCTTTTCTTGATTACATGGTGAGTGTTCTCCAGTGTAGTTACCCTAGGCCTCTCAATCAACTATTTCTAATTTCAACCACAGGGTCTTTGGTTTAGTACTCTACTTCACTGTTGCCTCGCTTTCCTATGTTTTCGTTTTCGATAAAACCGCCTTCAACCATCCAAAGTACCTCAAGAACCAAATATCTCTTGAAATTGGCCAGGCCATGAGTTCAATGCCTGTCATGGCCCTCCTTACAGCCCCCATCTTTCTCACCGAGGTCAAGGGCTACTCCAAGATATACGACACCATTGAAGAGGCTCCCTTCCCAATGTACAATATCTTGCAGTTCCCGCTCTTCCTCCTTTTTACCGACTTCTGCATTTACTGGATTCACCGTGGCCTGCATCACCCTCTCGTCTACAAGAATATCCACAAACCACATCATAAATGGATCATGCCCACTCCCTATGCAAGCCACGCCTTCCACCCCTTAGATGGATGGAGCCAGGGCCTCCCATACCATATCTTCCCATTCATCTTCCCGCTCCAGAAGTTTGCCTATGTCCTGCTCTTCGTCGCTATCAATATTTGGACCGTCATGATCCACGATGGCGAATATGTGGCCAACAGCCCCATTATCAATGGTGCAGCATGCCACACCATGCACCATCTTTACTTCAATTACAATTACGGCCAGTTCACCACCCTCTGGGATAGACTAGGTAAAAGCTACCGTAAGCCCAATGACGAACTATTCCGTCGCGAGACCAAGATGGGACAAGCCGAATGGAATCGACAGGCTAAGGAGATGGAAAAGATGGTCAAAGAAGTCGAAGGCTGCGATGATCGCACGTACGAAGGCACTGAGGCCAAGAAGAACATTTGAGTTCGGACTCAACTGTCTCTGCCTTCTGCTTCTTCTCCGTTCTATCCTTCTACCCGAACTGACTGCGTCTGCCGGTCAGATATCATAGTCAAATTTTTTTTTTTTGGTCTACCGTTTCAATTTTGCATTTATTGGCTAATAACTAACGAGTAAATATGCCCCCACGCTCCCACGCTCCCACGCTTTGGGAGCTCTGCATATATGCTACTTTTCGTGTCCCCCCATTGCACCCAGCCTACTTACGTTTTTAATTGTTCAATTTCCACGTCTATCAACTGATTTGTTGATATATATCTGCCTTCCTTTCAATGTCGCCTTATTTTCACCATGCACAAAGTACAAATCCCTATTTCTTATGCCCCCCACTTTACGTTTCCCATGCCATAGAGACCACTGAAGAGTCTAGAAGAGAAATATTATAAATCGGTGGAGATTTTCGGTCAATAATTGTGATAGTAATATTTCGCTTCCTAGGCTTTACTGGTCAGCTTTTGATAGAGTTGTCTAGGCCTCAGTTAACATACACTCTTAGGTCTCTATAAAATCATTCAAAATTTAATTGACTAAAACTTAGTACATTGAGCTAGAACCTGAGTATTAACACATAACCTGAACTCAAACATTGAAAGGGTTGAAAATCAAGTGGAAGTGAACCAGAAAGAGAACATAAAGTACACATCAAGATACAGAGCATGGAAAAGCAGCGGTTGGATAGGGGCATGAATGAGTGAGAAAAGGCCATGGTCTAGCCTAGTCAATCTCTGCAGTGTCGTGCATCTCTTCGACATCCATAGCCGGTTCCTCGAGTGTCTTGCTTTCCTCAGTCTTCTCGTCAATTCCCAGTGGTGGTGCAGGAGGAGCCATGGTTCCAAGAGCCGGAGCGGAGGCCATTGCCTCATCAATAAACGCTCTCTCAACTGCAACCTTGCGTCTAAAGACGTTCAACCATCTGCTTCCCCACTGCTGGATCATCACATTCTCAGGCTGGAGTGAGTCATCCTCCGTCCGCTCCATCATGCCATCGCTATAGCCACCAGCTACTGGGACTAGCGTATCTTCGATCAGCTGGAACATAGAAAGCATATCCGCCTTCTCTTTCTTGAGGGTTTCATCTAGAATGCTGAGCTGCGGTTCATATAGCGTTGGCTGAGTTCTGGCTGCCACAATCTGACGCATTCGGTTTGTAACCTTGCGCATAGTGGCGGATATCATTTCGAAAATATGTGGTTTTGCCAACGTTGAACCCGCGGCGAGGTTGTCAACTAGCGCCCATTCGAGGACAGATAGAGGAGTGAGAATGGTATAATTCAATAGCTTGTCGATGATGTTGATGCCGATTCCGGGTTGGTCGACCCAGTATTCCATGACAGAATTGATTATTTGACGGCGTGCAGCATCAGACTTTGGACCGATGGCAAGAAGTCGGTCCTTGCAGCGCTCGATGCAGGAGAGGAAGTGTGAGAGAGATTTGGATCCCACGTAGCAAATGGAGGTCATGTAGACGTCAGTAGAAGCAATAAGAGGGTCAGTCAGCCCGTGAGTTTTAGCTTGTTCTTCGATCGAAGTAATGACAGCTTCGATTTCTTCATCTGACGATTTCTGGCGGATGAGTTTCATCAATTCTTGTCCCTCCTTTGAATACGGAGTTGCTATCCTTAAGTCAGCGCTTGTTTTCTTTCATCAGTTTCACAGTCGTAAACTTAAACGTACTCTCCTGAGAAAATTTGAAGTCCGGCGTGTCCTTCTCTTTGCCTTCAGTGATTAGCTCATGGTAAGGCTCTGGAAGGGTTCCTTTTATTCTCTGTGCGAAGCTCAGTCGAATTTCCTTATCTATGGCTCCAATGATAAATGCCTTCTTGGGGTGGACATCTGGTAGCTCAAGGTCGGCAACCCTGTAAAAAAGTTATTAGCAGCTGGGCTTATTTATCTCTCTTTTGGCGACCTTACCATTCAGTCCACTTCCACGTGAAACCGAAGTTGCTCAGGTGGTGGGAGAACCAATCCAAGAATCTATAAGCAAGTGAAAGGTCCAGCTTATCAATATTTCGGTACATGAATCGAATCGCACGCCCCAAACTAGGAGCGACTGCGGCGGGAGCAATCTTGCAGGATTCCGTAAGCACTGAATGGTAATATACCAGTTTATGTTCCGGGAATGGCAACCGCAGGAGCTGAGAGAAGGCAGCGTCAACAGCAACATCTTCTGGTTTCCAGGTTGACTTCTGAGGAGATGGAGAGTCACGCAGTTGGTCTAAAGGAACAGCTCGTTTAACAAAGGTATCTGGTGCAAAGTAGCAGTCCACATCGATCAGGAATTTGGCCGTTGCATTTCGGTTGAAGTCAAGAACATTGATGGTGTCAACCAATGCGTCGCGGACCAATGACGATGCAATATCGGATGTCGGAGGAACTGTGTCAATGTCTTGATGAGTATAGACGGAGAAATAGATCTCAGGGAAAATAGCCCTAGGCCCAGTCTTGACCGGGTTAGGGACTGCGATTGTTGGAAAAGCATGTTTGGTAATGGTCTTGGGAGTTTCTTCATTTTCCTTTTTCTCTTCCCCGTTCCCATCTTCCTTTGGCTCCTTTTGGGTGAGCGGTTCTTTCCATGGTCTCGGAATACAGGTAAGTTTCCACGACTGGGCAGCTTCACCTTGCAGCTGTTTCTGAAGCAGGCCTAAGGAACTTAATCTGCCGCCTTCATCTTCGCCTTGTTTCTTAGGGAAAGGGTCGACAATTGCTTCAAGGGTATGGGGGGTTGAGGCAATGATATCCGTCTTTTCTAGTAGAGCGGAGGCTTGAGGCTCGAATCCGGTGGCAGATGAGGCCATGACGTAAGGAATGGTGTACAGAATGACGCTGACAAGCTCTAATCCAAGAGAATCTTCAGACGAGCCAGTCTGAAGGTCAACAGCACGCGAAAAGAGCTCCTCCAGCACCGGGAATATACCATCGCCTTCAAACAGGCCCTGCAAACATCCCAGGAACCGCAGCATAAGCTTGGCATTTCGCCAATGGCCCTGTCCCACGTACAGAGCAGCTTGTTCTCCAATATTGGAGATAATTGGGGCAGTGGCTTCTGGCTTAAGGGTGTTTAGTACGAGGATAACCGCAGCGATAAAAGGTATTTTCAACGGTTGTTCGAGGATCCTATGATGGGCTGTTAGCTTAGTTCCGAGACCCATTGGAGTACTGTACCACTTACATCTGCAGAACAAGGTCTTCAAAGGCTACCTTCATTGACTCATCCGAATAATTCTCTGCAATCATGCTCGCGATTTTGGGGATATCATCTTCGGGACGTCTCGAAGTCTAAAATTCCACAACGAAATAAATCCGTTAGATAAAGCCAGCCACATGCAAGGTTCCGAAATCATTGGTCTAGCTTACTGGTTCTGCAACGTTCAATAGCTGTCTCCTAACGATCGCAGCAATTGGCTCTTCATATCTTCTGCGCTGGTGTCGATACCGATCACCGCCCTCATCATCTGGATGTATGAGTTAGCAACACTTCCAATAGAAAAAGGACCCGCACCTCGAAGACGCCAACAACGAACCTCTATATCTTCTCTTCCTACTATACCCTCCTCCATGTCCCTGTTTGCGCTGTTCATTTTCCACCATCGTGACTTCGCGTAGCTCTAGGAAGCTCTCTAGCCAGCTCTGCGCAAAAGGGTTTTCTCCGTTTCCAAGCCTCTCTCTTCTAAACGGAGCAGTCTAAAGCATTAATGCGTGATACGGAAGATAGTCAACACGATACCCTACTCAATTCTATCTCGGAGTGCGCGCAATCTCGACGGGGGAGCTCGGCGTTTGACAGGGAGCGAATTCGACACGTCCTAGGAAACAAGCCAACTGCACACCAGAATGAATTAATAGCTCGAGATCAGCAACAGACCAGAACCTGTGGTCTGGTAGATAGGCTGGATTATCACGTCTGTCTCCTGTGAAGCTGGCGGCATCCTCTGTGAAGGGCAATAGGAGGGAACAAGCAGTGAATAGTGAATCAAACAAACTATTTACAGCAGAGGTGCAGGAAGTTCAGGTCCCAGCAGGCTTTCGCTGCTACTTTTTTCCAGCAGTCACGTGGATGGCAATTCTCACATCCATAGTACCTAAGATGGGATTCTATTTGTGTGGCCATCATTCTATATAGACAAGACAGGCATTGGACAGCAAAGAGAGAACAGGGCACAGTATATGATAACAGGGACATCTTTGATGCTGGTGGTACAAGTAATGGCTATAGACTTTGGTCTACGTATAATCACCTAGAAAATGTCGAGCTTAGTGGCATCACTAGCAAGATGATTGCCCAACTGAATACATCCAAACTGTCATTCTCAGGTAGGTATGCTCGTATTCATATTCATGTCATATTCATATTTCTGTTCTCTATTGCATCACTGGTCGCTCCCACACGCCGTGTGTCGCCTGGGACTCCTCTCCATACATCAGCGCTCTATTGACTTCCTTCCACCTCCGCCGCCGTTGCATGTATCAATATCAAGTAAATGCCGTGCCACCCCATGACATTTGTGAATATGGCTATTTGTTCAGGAGGCCCGTCTTCGGTTGTCTCCCTGCTTGCCTTGATGATACCCATGTCTGTATGGAAGAAAACGGAACATGAAGGAGGAGAAAGTATGAGAAATAGGGAGTGGGGAAAGGAAAGGGTGTAAAGACGAGAAGACAAAGAGAAGAGAAGAATCGTAAGAAGAAGAAATAGTAGTAGAAAATTCTCGCCTATCTCGCAGTGTGAAGGTTGGATCTGCTTGGCTGCGCGAGGGTATGAGCGTATCTCTCTAACTATCCCTATCCGTAATCCTATTTCCTAAGCCATGTCCCTATTCCCACTCCTACTCCCGCTCTCACACTCTGATCCGAGTCCGAACTGAAGCCAGTCGGGTGAGGGGTGGTCCCACGTCAATCAGAATGTCATGCCATGGTTGTGTCGGACCGAAGGCGAAGGAGTCTTGAGAGAGGACGGTGGGAAAAATAAGAGGGAAAGAAAAAGGGAGAAAAAAAGAACAGCAACACATGTGGAATAAAAGATAAAAAAGAACAAACCTGCATCCGTCCTCATAAGCAAATAAACATGAAAGAGAAGAAAGAAAAAAGGACATCGAGGGAAAAGAGGGAATCTGAAGTGCCGGAAAGAAGAAGAAATAGAAGAAAAAGAAGGTAAAATCAAGTGGTATCATGCAAGCAAATCCTCCCCGCAAAGAGCAAGGACACAGGAGCAACACAGCACCGTAGCAACATAAGAAGACGTAGAAAAAGAAAGCCTCTTGTATGTAAATACAGAGGGAATCGACCTTGATGAGTGCAAGGGGGGGATATGTGTGCGTGGTATGTGTGCCTTTCCTTTCACCTGTAAGCTCTCGAGGTTATTCACAGAAACCATTTCCTCCTAATCCCACCTAGTTTTTTTGGACCTCTTTCTCCCCTATTCGCCTATTTTCATCTCTGTTCAATGGAGTCATGATTCATCAAGTGGTAATTGGTACGTGGTTGGTTTGGTACCCATCCGACCGTGTGTGGTGGTGGCACCGAGGTTTGTGTGAGTGCGTGAGAGATATTTTTTTTTTCGGGTTTTTTGTGGTTTTTGTGGTAATAGATGCATCGCGTCGTCATACCCCGGATCGAGACACAAGAAGGCCAGGCCGGACCAGATCTAAGATATGTTGCTATGATATATGATGCTTAACGAATCCTTGAGCAATAGAAAGGGCTTAACAGTGGTGGGCGGATCGACGTGAAAACGCTGGGGTTGAGGGAGAGGGGAGGTTTGGAAATGTGGGGAGGGGCATATCACGAAGTCGGACGAGATGGGAAATAGACTGATTTGGTGGGTTTGATAGACGGACCGACGGGAAATGGATCGTTTCGTGAGCCCGTGCATAGAAAAACCACTTCAAGGACATGTATCATCGTTCAAGACGTTAAAGCCGGGATATGAGTGCCTGAATCAATCAAGACGGGCCATCATCTCCTCTTTCTTGAGAGGAGTAAAGTTGTCGATGTCAAGACCCTGTGCAACAAGCTCTGCTCTGGCGTGTGGTGGAATGAGACGGTGGTTCATATTGGGAGCAATAGAGAGCTCTGCAATGGGAACAAGTCAGCAATAGAACCAATATAGAGCAAGGTAGCAAGCATTGAGACGTACCATGACGAGTGAAGTTGAAAAGCTTGGGCATGTCACGGGGAGGAGCATTTGGATGACGCGAGTCTGGAAGACGAACGTTTGGCTCACGGAGCTCATCAAAGAATGGATGGCAAAGAGCTTCGATGGAGGAAAGACGCTGGGTGGGGGTGTACTCGAGAAGAGCGGTGATCAAGTCAATTGCCTCGTGGGAGGCCTTGCGGAAGACCTGATAGGACGAACAAATTAGCATACACAGGTGGAAGAAAAAAAAAAAAAAAGAAAAGGAGTAAGGACGCCGGGATGGTACCTTGTTGAATGGGTGAGGCTTAATCTGGGGGAACTTGTGCTCCATGTAGTTGGGGTTCATGGTGCGGATCTGCTCGCGGGTGGGAGTGCCCAGAATCTTGATGATCTCAACCAGCTGGTCAATGCCAGACTCTCCCTGGAAAAGAGGCTGACCGAGCATGAGCTCTCCCATGACACATCCGGTGGACCAGACATCTGCACAGATATTAGTAAGGCATGTCTATATTATTTTATTTTTATGTTGTTATTGTTTGGTGTTGGGGATAGAGGTAAGGGACATACCGATCTTGGTGGTATAGTTGGTGGCACCGAATATCAGCTCAGGGGCGCGGTAGTAGCGGGAGCAGATGTAGGAGACGTTGGGCTCGTTGGCGACGAGGATCTTAGCACTGCCAAAGTCGCAGAGCTTGAGAATGCCGGTGCTGGGGTCAAGGAGGAGGTTCTGGGGTTTGATGTCACGGTGGCAGATGCCCTGGGAATGGATGTAGGCGAGAGAGCGGAACAACTGGTATGTGTACAGCTTCACCTCGAGGAGTGGCATGGTAGTCTTGAGCTTGTTGAAGTACCGCGAAGCGCGGTAGACGGTCTCTGGGACGTATTCAAGCACCAAGTTAAGGTAGACCTCGTCCTTCTATTAAAGAGAAAAAAGTGGTCGGGTCAGCAAAGAGGCTCAATGTCGTCGTTGTCGTTGTGGTCGTCGACGTCGTCAGTCGTCAACAACAACACGTTCTCCCACTTTCCACTTCTCCCACTTCACCAGACACACACGCACACACAAGACACGACACCACAATGCGAGAAACGACGGAGAAACGACTTACTCTATCACCGTTGGAGTAGTAAAACGCCTTGAGCTCGACAATGTTTGGGTGACGGACTATGCGCATGATCTGGAGCTCACGATTCTAACACGCAAAAGGAAAAAAATGGTCAGCTTTTTTACGGCCCTCTCTTTTGGACGCCAAATTACTCTTGCTGCCGGGGCTCACCTTGAAGCGTTTGTCCTGAAGGACGCGTTTGATGGCAGCATCTTCGCCTCCGGGAGACAGCTTGGTCTGGAAGACAATGCCAAAGGAGCCATTGCCCACGATCTTGCACTGGGTGTACTGCATATCACGAGTCTCGCCAGTAACGCCATCCTGGACCTTCTCACGGATCACCTCTGCAGACCAGTCAGTCAGTCGGTCAGTCAGTCATTCGAGCCAGCCGCCAGCTCCTGCGAGTCCAACCGGGGAGGTATCGTTGTCGAGGGCGAAGTGAGGGAGGGTTCGAGGTGGGAGGGGTAAAAGGGCAGCGAAGGGAGAGCAAGCGACTTACCACCCATACGCAGGCTGGAAAACATCCCAGGCCTATTCTGTGACATGTTGTCTTGCAGAAAGCCAACACGGAAGAGCTGGCCGGTTTTATCGAGCTGTTTGACAGCGGGAAGTTCTTTTTTTTTTTCCGTTCTTTCTTTCTCGACGAAACGAGGCGCTCTGGCGTGGGAGTTGAGGAAACGGGGGAACCTGGGCTAACTATCGCGTGGTACTGCGAAATTGAGGAGTTTCGAGAGGTCTGCTGAGAGGAAGAGAAGAAAGGGCACCACCACAACAAAGATTAGCGAGACCAGGCCGAAGCAAGGAAAAGAAAAGAAAAGAAAGAGAGAGAGAGTCTTTTTTTGCTGGGCAACGATCTCAACGGTCCCTTTCCCGTGTGTCTGTTTTAGTACCTTTTTCTTACTGGCCTTGGGGAGGCTCTCGATCGTCTTGCGGTACGGTCGAGGGCAGAGGAAGAAGAAGAAGAAGCGGAAGATGGGAGGTGGGCGAGAGAAAGAAAGAGAGGGAGGGAGGGAAGAAATAAATACACAGAGGGAGAGGAAGTGAAGAGGGCAGGCCAGGTGAATAAATAAGCAAGCAGTTTTTGTTATGGTAATGTAAGGGAAAGGGGAGGGAATGGAGGGAGAGGAACACAAGGCGGGCGTGCTGCGTGCAGGAAAAGAGGAGGAGGGCAAAGGACGACGACAGGCGGGCGGCGGGGATTTTTTTTTCTTGGGGGGGAGAAGAAGCAAAGCAGGCAGGCAGGAGGGAGGGAGGGAGGGAGGGAGACAAGACGGGCGGGTTTTTCCCTTAGGCTAGTTAGGTTAGGTAGAGAGAGAGGGAGAGAGAGGGAGGCAGAAGGGCAGCAGAAGGGCAGAGAGGCACAGCGGCAGCGGCAGCAGAGAGTTTCCTGGCAGGCTCCACCAAGCTTAAGATGAAGCAGGCAGACACAGATGGACAGCAGGTGGACAGCAGACTGACTGACTGACTGACTGACAGACACAGAGAGAGGACGGAAAGGGTGCAGACAGACAGAAAAGGATGAGCTGCAGCAAAGAGCAGGCAGGCAGAGGAGAAAGGGGAGACCTACAGTGAAGGAGGAGGGCCGGTGAGTGAGTGGGTGAGTGAGCTTTGTGGACGGGCGGTACAGCTGAGGACGACGCTGACGATGGGACAGACGAACGACAGCCGAAGACGGCAGACGAAGATGATGCTGTGACGGCAGAGAAAAGAGCCGGACGGTGGATGGAATATAGAAGACGACGACGAAGAAGCTGGGAAGGTCGAAGCTCGCCAGGTCTCTCTCCCAAGAAGAACTGCTCTACCCGGCAAGCTTATTTAACTACTCGACTAGTTATTTAAACTTGCGCCCAACAATGACGCTCGTGTGGTAAAGAGAGGGATTGAAGGCAGAAAGCAGGAGACAGCAGAGCAGACGGACGGCGGAGACAAGACGAAGATGCAAGACGAAGAAAAGGAAGAAGAAAAGAGAAAGGGGAAAGGGAGCTGGTTAAGAAGAAGAAGAAGAAGAAGAAGAAGGGGGAAAAAAGTGACCCCCATCCATCGCCAGTCAGTCTCCCTACTAACTACCTATTATTTACTTTGCTGCTTGCTCGACCTACTTTTTTTAAGTACGCTTGCTCGCAAAAACAAGCCCGCCTGCCAGACAGACGCCAGGCAGGCAGGCAGAGCTGCCACCAGGCGTCGGAGGGCGGAGGAGACGATGCAGCTCCCTCCGCGATCAACCCATCATCCATCATCCATGTCTACGGGAAGCCCTACGGGTTCTAACTGCACCAGCACAGTGCAACTTGCCATCATCTTCGCCCTGCGTCTCAGCAGCCCCCTGGTTTCTGGTTTCAGGGCAGGCAGTTACCGCGTGCTCTAGCTACATGTCCGTTCCCCTTAACCATGCACCCCCATCACTCTCCCGTCTCTCAGCTTTGTCGCTTTTCTAATAATTTTCAACAAGGAGAATGAGCAAAAGAAAAGGGAGAAGAAGCAGTCACGAGAGAAGCTTGAGGAATGGAGATCCTGGGCTGTGGTTGTAGTGGAAATAAACGACTGAAGTATAACCCAGGAGGTTACTTTCCGTTATCCAGCTTCTCCCTCTCCCTCTTCTCTCTTAATAGTTACCTCTGCTTCTTCTTCTTCTTCTCCTTCTTCTGTTTCTTTTTCTTTTTTTTTTTTTCCTGCTTCGGGTTCGGCTTCATCGTCTCCTTGCTAACTAACTACCTAATGGGGGGTGATCCTGCACTTAGGTTGCGGCCATAGGGACAGGGGGGGAAGATAAGAAGAGGGAAGAGGGAGTCAAAAAAAAAAAGCAGGACAACCGACCCTTTGGCCCAGGGCATGGATGGCATGGATGGTCAATTGGCCTTGAGAACCCCCGTCTCTCACTCTCACTCTCTCACTCCCTCTCTCTCCCTGTCCATCGTCATCGTCATCGTCCCATCTCGCGCCACGATAGAGATAGAACGACAACAAAAAAAGTAAAACAAAAAGAAACGAATAGCCGAAAAAGAAAGAAGGATGAGGATGAAAGATTGGCCATCTCATCGTCATCGTCATCACCTTCACCTTCTTCCTTTCTCCGACCATCTCGACTCTTTGAACTACCTGGTTTCAAAGAGTATATATCGTGTGCTGGGACTGCATATTGTCGGGTGACCAATTGCAATTTTCACCTGGACCAAGGATAAGCTGTCGGAAGTCACAGGATCGCGTATCCACCGGGGGGTTTAAGTTAGTTAGTTAGCTGGTGTGGGCGTGCTTGTTCTTCTTTTCTTCTTGTACCAGGCCCCGTACTCCGTACTCTACTGCGTATAGTTGAAGGTACAATCACGGCCTGCTTGACCTTCTGCTTCCTCTTCTTCCTCTTTCTTGCCTCCTCCTTCCGTGGCCACTCTTTTGCCTGCGCTCAACGGCCAAACAAGCGGTCGTCAACTAGCTGGCTGTCTGTCCATCTGTTTGTCTGTCTGTTTGTCTGGCTGACTGGCTGGTTCCCTGTTTGCTTGCAGGTGCAGAGCTCCCTCCCCTTGTCCAGTGCTGCTCGCCCGTATTATTAATACACAGCATGTCCACCGAGAGCCGATTTAGTGTTCGCTTGGCCGGCCAGGAGATGAAGTCATAAGTTTCCCCC